TATACTTTTTTGCATTCAGTTTATGGTGTATTTGTATTGTTTGTTTAGGTTGGAAGTCCTTTTCCTGGACCACCTACGCAGCAAACCACTCCACGACTTTCACCATCTCCTAACCAACCTCATACTCCAGCTGATCAGCAAAAGCAGCAGTTTCCTCCAAACACAGGGCCTACTCAACAGCAGCAACCTCCCAGACCAGGAGGCTTCCCTCAGCAACAACAAGCTTCACGACCAAATGCACCTGCTCAGCAACAGCGACCTGGAATGCTACCCCAGCAACCACACTCCCACAGACCTGGTATGCCACCACAACGTCCTTCCGCACAACAGCAACAACATCACCAGTCAGAAAGACCTGGAATGCCAATGCAACAGCAGTCCATGCAAAGACCTGGTATGCCACCCCAGCAACAGTCAAAACCAGGAGCACCTCCCCAACAGGGATCAAGACCAGGAGGACCGTTGCGGTATCCACCTCCCCCAGGAGGTGTGTCACAGCAACAGGGAACCCAGGCATTGCACCAGCAGCAACAGGGTTCTTATACTTCCCAGCAACAGGTTGGTCCCTCCTCCAAATTAGTAAATAAAATTAATAGAAGAGACCATACATAATAGCTAGCCAGGGCAGCATGAAAACATCAGGTCTAATGAGATAAACAAAATTTGTGCTCACAGAAGTCACTTTTTGGGACTTTTTTTGTACCACTCTCCTCTAAACAGCGACACCAAACAACCAAATTCAAGGTTTTGTGTAAATCCTTATCCTTCCTTTTTGTGAGTGGGAACACCTTTATTGCCAATTTAGTCCCTCCTCAATATAACAAACCGTTATGTAAAATGACCTAGGGGTAAGGAATATTATTATTAATCCCAGTAGTGGTAAAATGTATGGAAAAGAACCTCATTATAATGAAAGCTCTGGTGAACATATTTTGCTAGTCCCATGGCTCTTTGTTAAAACAATGTTCCACTATAAGTGGAGTTAAACAGTACTTTCATGATGTTGCAGATACATGTGGATTGATCACTATATGGGGTAACATAATAGAATGAAGGGACATTGATCACACCACAACACAATTACAAGTATAAAAATAATAGTTTTCATAACAGCCAATGAATGATTTTCCAGTAATCGGATACCCATGTTTTGCGCAAAGGATTCTGGGATCGCCAGGGGGCAAACATTGCGAATCGCTACAAAGAAATGTATGGGCGTGGAGTTGTTTCTCCGTTAAAAACAGTGTCTTTGGACATAGAATGCCGCATTTTGCCGTGATTTTATGAGAAACGGAGGTCACTAATGTTGGTGCGTTGAAATTTCAAGTTTCTGTGTGATTAATGCGATAAATTCTATCAATAAACACTCCTTGCGTGAGGTTGAGTGTGAAATTTATGTTTACTGAATTTACACAGACATGAAGAATTGGAAGAAAAGGTCTTGAAATAATTAATTATATAGTGCAAATTTAGGTATACATGTAGGGGGATTGGTTCATGAAAGCGTTTAAGTTATAATTACGTGTGATGATATTTACGACGACTTTAACTACGCTCGGCCGCGATCACCGCCGTGCGGCGCTTTGCGGGTTATGACTAGACAACAATCGTAGGTATGTACGTGGCCATAAAAATAAAAAATCCTCCTTTACTTTGGTATAAACAAAGTGACATCTACAAAATATATCATGGAAAGTACATGGTATTTAATCATTAGTAGATGAGGCAGAAATCGTACGAACGAGTAAGATTTCCGATACAAAGGCGGTGAGTTTGAAAATAAATACCAAGTTGATGTGCGAAATTCAGAGATTCTATATCTTCCCTCAAAACGATTGGAAAAGGCATTAGAACTTATCCGTGCTCTGCATCATGACAGAACAATTCGCTTGTGTTTTTTTGGCGAGAAGAAATCAATATACTAATGTGCGGAAGATGTTTTTGTTTTTAAATTTAATACATATCAAATTCGACAATACATAAGCTTACCTTTGATTGTTGTCACAAACCGGCACAGCATTGTGATCGCTGCCGAGCAGAGCGTAATTACACTTGTTGTAAATATGAGCACTGGAAAATCATTCATTGAAGATAATAATAATGATAATAAGAGATTTTAAATGCTGTCAAGTTGTTAAAGCAAGATTTTGTTGCTAATAAAATTTCCCTTGGCTTCACAATCCTGTTTGCATTTAAAGTCTCCTATTGTACATTGTTTACTGCAAAGAAACAATACAATTATTAATAACAAAGGCCATACATTTAATTTCAGTTAAAATCAGTGTCATGCACGGCTCAACTTGTGTGCAGTAGCACAATTTTGCATTCAGACAATGAGGGACAAAAGTGTTGACACACTTCTGTAAAACGGCCCCTTTTTGCATAGTGGATATACTTATCCCCTTCCCCTGTCTGCCCCAACCCCTCCCCCCCAAGATCAATGTTGAATTTTGGACCCTCAAGTCTTTTTTAATTCAGACAACATTGATTCAGGGTTGAGGGGATTTACGGCGTTTAAAAAGAATGAAATAATAAATGAATTAAATGTTTGTTAAAAGCACCCATTTTAAACAAGTGTGTCAACTACTTTTGTCCCTGATTGTAGGTTATGTTCGAATTCATAAGTGCTGTAACTTGATATGTACATACATTAAGCTCAACTAAAGGATTCAAGGCCACTATATGCCTGAGTTAGGCAGTCAATAGTATATTGGTAACTGTTGATAA